GTCGTTCAAGCAAGTGAAGCCATACAGGTTGCAAACTGCCTTTCATGAGGGCTCCCGGACCCCGCTGCCACCTCCCCGTGCCTGTTTGCGTTCGGCTGAGCACCCCAAAATGGCAGCTGGGCCAAGAGTGGGGCTGTCCCGGCTGCACCATGGATTTCAACACTGGTGTCTGGGGCGTGTTAATGCTCAACCTCCTCTGGAAACCCTCCACAGCTCTGATCAACATGTGTAACCCCATTACTTGTATAATGTGACAAGCTGAGGGCATGGAGGACACAGCATCTGTGGCTGACTTGCCCAGGAGAAGGCAGTGGCAGAGCCAAGCCACGTCCGATGGCCTCCGTCCTCTCCACTCCTGCCATCACCCTGTGCCATCTGAATCTTTTCCAGCTTCTGCAAAAAGGTGAGGCAAAAAAGCCTTCACACTGTAGCCTCCTTCACTGCCCGATCCTGACTCCTTCCCTCTGTCCCATGGGGGGAACGAGTTCCCCTGAAGATGTTCTGTATTCATGTTCTCTCTAGGTGGGGGCAAAAGAGGAGGTAGTGAGAAGATGACAGCATCTCCTTGTATTGATTTTGCCTCCTCCCATACCGTTTGCTGGATCGGAGCCCAGAGCTGCCTGCCAGACGCCATCCCCTTCAGACGGCACGTGCTTTGTGCTGCGGAGGGAACAAACCATCCTGCCAGGCAGTTTGTGATCACCAAATGGGACAAGTCCAGCCCAGCAGGACACACAGGTGAGATACAGCCACGTGAGGGCTCAACCTAGTCTCCTCCATGCTCAGATTTTCTGCATGTCCCAGGAGAAAGATGTCCTAGTGCACATACCTAAGCAAAGCTGAACATGCCCCAAGCAGTCAAGGCTGTGCACCCTTCCTCATGCAGAGACTGCATGAACATTTTCACAAAAACATACTGTGGTTTTCTTGCCGGAGAGGGAGCAGATCGCAAACTCATTCCCACAGAGCTGGAGCTGTGGTGGTAGAGCTGGGACTGGGCGTGCCGCAGCATTTCTCGCTTGGTTCCACTTTTCTCAGAGGGCGTCTGCATTCAGCCGTATGTCTTGAAAGATTCCCCCCTCCTCTTGCACCCCATTCCTTCAGCTTTTCTCCCTACCACGCAGGAATTTTAAAAAGCTTTAAGAAGTCCAAAGAGATGTGACGTTGAAGAAGTTGGTCTTCAAAAAAAGTTTTCCTAACTTGTTCTCCTAGAAGTCGATTTCCTGAAACCACTAGTATTTGGCTGACTCAGGAAATAGTTTGCTTGCAGCAAAATTGCTTGTATTTATATTATATATATATTATTTTGTTTCATGCTTTAAATTTGCCAAGATAGCCCTCATCAACTCCATCTCCTGGGAACTTTTGCTGAAAAGCCAGCAGCAGCAGTGCAGCTACACCCCGGGTACCTTTGGACCCCACCAAGCTGGACCCCAAGGATCCCTGATAAAACAGAGGTGTGTTTTTTCTAGATATGGTCCCAAAATTCAGATGTTAATCAAAACTAGCCATTGTCTGGGACTTGTATGCATCGTTCTCCCCCCGAGGGGGGGATTTTTGAATACGCCGTCAAAACATTTCCTAAGAAAGACCACAAAAACCCAACAGATGCCATCAGTACAACTTCCCTGGTGTGGGGAGATATTGCTGTAAGTTTCCTTTGGAGACGTGGTTGTCTCATGTTGCCTGTGCCACAGTGTCTTCAGCTTCTGCAGTGGACTCTACTCATATCCTAATTAGGACGAGGTTTTCCTGTTGCTGTGATGCACCCAGCCATTACTCTCTGATGCTCTTGAGGATAGGAAAGGTGAAGCTGAGGTGGTGGCAGGCACTTCAGTGGAAGAGGAGGAAGCCAGGACATGGTCTGTGACTCAAGCCACGTCGGGCTCTCACAGGAGGCTGCGCTGCTCTGCTGGGGTCTCTGGAGGAGGAACCCAAACCCTTTCCTCCCTCCCAAACCATCTTCTACCACAGAAGGACCACTGCAGGGGCTGGCACGGTCCCTGGCTGCTCTCTATAGTGTGGCTGGCGTTGCAGGCTGAACCATGTGGTGGTTCCGGCGAGTCCCACCATCCCACGCTGGGTGATGACTGTTTTGCATGACCACCCGGGCATGGCATCACCAGCTCTCCTCGTTTGAACACTCTTCAGATGAGCAGAAAGGGATCCAGTCCCTTCACCCCAGCAATCTCCAACCTGGGTGTTGGAACTGCAGTAGTTTGGGTTTTCCTAATCCTTAACAGAAAACGTTATAATGGAAAAAAGCTATGAAATGAGCCAAGTTCCCTCAAAATGTGAAGTGTGTGTTCTGCGACAGCAGTCACAGCAAATCCTAATATAGCCAAGAAGAGACGTGCGATAGATCACACCCACTGGGTTGCCAGGAACATATATGAGACCCACACTCATTAGATCCTCCTCCTTGCTCATCAAGCAATTATACTGATTTCTTCATTAAATAAAAGCAGGCTGATGGATTCTACCGAGTAGAAGACCGGCCCCCAACGTGGCTTTTCTGTGGACTCAGCTACTTGCGGAAGAGAAAACCAGAAATTAAAGTCACTGACACGCATGTCTCTTTCCCCTCACCCCAGCTTTACACCACGCGCCCCCAAGAAGCATCAGCTGGAGTTCTCCCCCTTGAAGTGGGCACCACATCCTGCCCAAGTGTCCCCAAGGTCACTTTGTCCCCTTTTTTTAAACCTTGTGCCTTCCCTTCAGAGTCACACAGGAGCCTGTGGCCAGACAGACACCCACATAAACCAGTTAAACCTTTAATTTTTTTTTTTTTTTTTGGATGGAAAAGTGTTCCTGCACCTTCTCAGCAGGATAGAAAAGTGCAGCTGAGCACAGTGTTGTCCCCCTCCAGCTCCACGCACAACCCAGTGGCCATTGGAGCCCATGAAATCAGCTCAGGTTGTCATATGACTGTGAAGAAACATTTTAAGGACCACACCAAAGTCCTCCAATTTTATTAACATAAAAATCCATTACAATTCAGAGCACTGAAGAGCTAAAATTACTTTTTAATCAGTAACATGGACATTTATAGCTATGTGCTCAAAAAAAAAGCCTAGCTCGCGTATTTCTTTGTGAAATTATATTTTAACGATAAGCGTTACAGAGAATGAACTCTGACTATTGCTTTTGTTTATCATACTCACAAGTGAGATCAAAGAATACAATCATAGAATCATTAAAGTTGGAAAACTAACCAACCCAACATCACCATGCCTACTGATGTGAATAAAAAGGACAGAAGCTCAAGAAGATTTTGACTTGCAAGGCAGAATTCTTCACACCTGCATGGGGGAGAGGAGATTGACATCAGTTAATCTGTTCGCACATTCAACTGTAATTATTTTAGGAAAGAAAAAAAAATGTGTTTTCCACAAGGGAACTCCAACTGCAGAGTCCCAGCTGCAGACAGACAGACAGACCCATCTTCCAGTTATATTTAGTTAAAAATCCTGCAGAAACTGCTTTTCCATCCCCTCCTCGGTGGGGGTTCAGGGTTCAACAAGCAATCCTCTGCCAAAATGATCCTTGCTCTCCATCCACCCCAAGCACGAGCTGCACAGATATTCCCCCTTTATCCTGCTCTCAACTTCTCCATCACAGCTCAGTAAATCCTTGGTCCCAGACTCTAGCGAAGTCACCAATGCTTGGCATCCTTCACCATCAGTGACCTTCACACTGACGTCCCACTGAAGCCACCGCAGTCCACACAAACTAGAAGAGTGACCATATCTAATTTTTCAGAGCTGTTACCTAGAAATGTCTGTACTGTATCAAATCACAGGTCCCTTCACCTCAGCATCTCATCTCAAGCAGCAGTTTGAAGCAAGTCTTCAGCACTTATGGCATCCCTTCTAAACATCCTTCCAGTCCAACCGTTTCTGGCTCTGGGAGATCTCTTGAACCTTTCTCCAGCCCCCAGTATCACCCCTCAGCCTTTCTTCTGCAAATTTAAGAGCATATCTTCTTCTGTTGTCCCCCACTAGAAAGATGGTCAACTGACCTCTGTTTTCTCTTGTCCCTGGAAGCCCAGCATCCCTCCTAGCATTTACTGCTCTACGGCAAGAAAGGTCTGGAGAGCTTTAGAGGGAAAGCAGCATTAGACAGCGACAGTTAGAGGACTTGGATGCATCTAGATCTTCCCAAGAAGCGCCCAGGAGAGTTTTTCTGGTTTACAAAGTTCATTTGACTCATGATGCTGTCTGTCTAAAAGCCATCAAGAATATTTTTCTGGTCCAATGTGGAGGGCATTTCAAGTGAGGTCTTGCCAAGGCTTGTCCTGGGCACAGTTAATAATTATCCAGCCTCTACCAGGGTATGTATTGCAACTATGTCAGCTAGACCACACATCTTTAGTTTTCTTTTCCCTGCCGAGGGTTAAACTAGTTTAATCGGTTAAACCCGATTGCTAAATCCAGATCTGTTAGGCCCAGATAGTTTGAAGAACCTGGAGCACTCGGACTGTGAGACACCAGTGAACCAAGACTGCTTCTGATCTGGCAGCAAGACAATGATTTACGCCTCATAAATATCACATTACCGAGCCAACACACTGCTTGCCACAGTTAACCGGCCTGCCTCCTACCAAGTCACGGGGCTTTCCAAGTATGGCAACTTCCTCCTCACCAGACAGAGGATAGCACCACAAGGTCTGGAGGAGTGCTAGAGGACCTGTGACAACTCTGAATGATATCTGGCAGACACGTGGGGAAGTTTTGTTCCAAGGGGCTCCTTCTTTTGAGGAAAGGAGACTCTTGTAGGCCAGGTATGGCTGAGAACTGGCCAAAATAGTGGGTAGAAAGGGTATGGGAACAGCCCTGCTCCCAATCAGCAGCAAGACTATATTTTTTGGGAGGTGGTTGCTTCTGTTCCTCAACTCTGCAAGCTGCAGAATTCCTCGTACATGAAGCAGTCCACATTCCCCTTATCAGCACAGCATGGAGCATCAGCGTTTAACTCACCATGATCATCCCAGACACAGCTTAGAAGTCTGCATCTGCAAGAAAGAAGGGGAGAGCGTCAGGCTTCAGGGCAAATAGCACCCCCTCTCACCCATCACCACAAGCCCACCCCTGCTGGAAACAGCCTCAGTGCAGTAACTGGAGAGCTGCCCTTGCTTGTCTGTCTGCTTGCTGCAGCAGGCTGGGTCACCACGATCAGTCTGTACCGCTACATCCTTCTTTATATTCACCAAATATAAAGCCAAAAATCAATGCATGACTCATCTTTTTCTAGGCAAGTTCACCTAGAAAGAGGTCAGAGCGCTCGCTAAGAGTCATCAGACACAGCATAACCCAAAACCTACAGATAACACCAAGGCGAGTCTTCCCTGTCTGCTAGTAACGAACTCTTTCGTGGGTAAAGAGCCCACTTACAGAGCCTTTTCAGCAGCCCAGCCAAAACCAAGTTAATTTTCCACCAATAACACAAGACCTTCAAAATCCACCCCATTATAGCACCCTGTTTCGTGAGAAGGGGAACAGAGACACCGTGGATATAAATTAACAAGCACTGCCTTCTGGATGTGAACGGCAGCAAAGCTTGAAGAGGAAGGCACATCGTACCCCATCGGAAGGACTGCGGCTCCGTGAAGGTGGAATGGGCCACCCTGCAGACATAGACATCGCCCTTCTTGGGAATGAACGACGCGTATACCAGGCGCTGGAAGTGCCACTTGCTGTTGAAGGACATGTCAGCGTAGTTCACGTTGCTCATGGGCTCCCCGTTCTTGAGGAGGGTGATGTCAATCTTCGGAGGGTGGAAACCACTCACGAAGCAGTTGAGGGTGTTTTCCTCTCCCTCTACGACTTGCTTGCGGGAGTACACCTCCACCTTCGGTGCCTCTGGAGAGAGGGGTAAGGGGGTAGTGAGAAGGAGAGCTACAGCGGGCACACCTTGGAGAAGTCAGTGCCCACCCACCCAAGCATGGTAACGGGTACCCTCACAGTACCTCCCACCCGGTTCACACCGGGCCCTCACCG